CCAGCGGGCGACTAACGATGCAAAGTAGCCATCGTTACTCGCGAGATCTGGAATGTATATGTGTGCAGAGTTTAGACTTATCGTTCCAGAAACAAAAAATTTAGTCGCGTTTATATATGCTGCGTGTAGATTTTGAGAGGGACGTGCGTTGATACCCGTACCCTCTCGCCAAGTAGTCGCCAGATTGTTGCATTTTGCTTTGACAACCAGAGCCAGCACCAGCGGAGCCCTTAGGCGTCGTCAAAGGTTCCGCCCGATTTGCTGCAACTGCGATGATTAAAGCACGCCGGCTTCGCGTCAGAAAACATGTGTACCGCAGCAAGAGGTTGAATATTAAGTGTAACCGCCACAGCGGGGACAGAATCTCGTTAGCTCATATTTAAGGGTAAATCTTCGAATCATCTTTTTGTAGTTCGATATCCATCATGGAAGGATTTTGACGATTTAGCACGAACCTTCAAGACATGCTCCGGAGATCTACTCATTCAACTCCGTTTGATGTGGAAACTGTTAACTCTGTAGAAAACATGCCACAATAAAGCGCGTTTTTGTTAGAAGCGGTCACCAGCTTTCACATATTATTTTTAATTAGGCAGATTAAAGAACGCAGAATAATCGAATTCATGCTTTCACAGATTCAATCTCTTTTCCAGAGTACTGGCACACCCTAAGCTCCTCTAGCATTGATTACGTCTGTCATAATTGAAATAATTACAATCACAATGGATTGCAATAGAGAGAGAAGATCAGGAAAGTAAAGGTGTTTTTCATGAATTTCTGTAGAGACGTAGAATGGTTTGTAAAAAAGTGTGACAATAACATTCTTTATGTCATGTTTGAGTTAGGTTTGCGGCGGACGTAAGTTATTGGCTAAGAGACACCATTACAACACCGGCGGCGATTAGAGAGTGCAGTGACGTAGCTATCCCTAAGGTGTGCTCGGAGCAAAGCTCCGATAACACTCGATTTGATCTATCAGAACGAAATCCACTCTCTGGTGTTTTCTTGGCGGGAGAGCACGGGTAACAAACTACTCAGACTTTGAACTGTATTTATGTATGGAGATGACCTTCGTTTTCCTTGTTATAGGTTTGAAGGGAGAGAGAAAATTGGTTGGGCGTTCGTCTTATTGAATTGTGAACTATTATCCAGAACTAATCTATCTAGGCTTTTGAAAAAAAAAGGATGCTTTATCAGTGACATGAATGACGGTTCTAAACGTTTGGATTATAGCTCAAAAAGAAAAAAAAACACTGTTTACTTACTTTTAAGGAATTCAATTCGGACAACACTACGGCTTCATACGTCATCTGCCTATTGACTGGACTCACGCTTGGATCTGGACCTCTAGCATCTGCAATTTGCAATAAATTCGGATGCCGAATAACCGCTATTGTAGGTGCTTGCATTGCTATCTCAGGGTAAGAGTGTTTTACTCAAAGCTTGTAAATTCTCTTTTATTCGCGCTGTTTGTTGCCGTTTTAGGTGCATCATATCGTCATTTGCAACAGCCATGTGGCAGTTGGTGATCTCCATAGGAGTAATTATGGGAGTTGGTTTTGGCCTCTTGTATTGCCCAGCTATTGTTGCAGTGACGATGTATTTTGAAAGGTGAGCTGCATTTCTGCAACAAATGC